GATAGTTAGGAATGATATAAAGAGGCATGTAAGGAGTCTAAGAAAGCAATATGCGATGCAAAAAATTTAACTTTTAATGATTTATATAATAGATTAGATATTAAGGAAGGCGAAGATATATGTATACATTAACGAAATATAGAGAAAGAGTAGTAATGATTTAGTTCAGGTGAAGAATATTAAAGATGAAGATAAAAAAATTATTTTATTAGTAGAGGATATTCAACAAAGGTGGATGAGATATTTTTCTAAACTTTTTAATAATATTATGATAATGTGATTGACTTTAGTGATCTTAACACGCTAAATGAAAATAATTTTTGTTTTTGTTTTTATTGGTGTATTAGTAAAATCAAAGTTAGAGATGCTTTAAAAAAATGAAGTGGGAAAAAAACTATTGGATATGATGATATTCTAATAGAGGTGTGGAAATGCTTAGGAGATGAAGAAATATTTTGGCTTACTAAACTTTTTAATATTATTTTGATGACTAAAAAGATGCCAGATGAGTGGAGAATGAGTTTATTGATTCATATTTTTAAGAATAAAAGTGATGTACAAGATTGTACAAATTATAGAGGAATTTAGTTAGTGTCATACTTGAAAACTATGGGAGAGAGTTATGGAGCATAGGTTGTGGCGTGATACTAATGTTTCTCAAAATCAATTTGGATTCATGTCGGGTAGGTCTACTATGGAAGTTATACATTTATTGAGAAGTTTGATGGAGAAGTATAGAGAGGATAAGGAGGATCTCTATATGATATTTATTAATTTAGAAAAAAGATATGATAAAGTTCCAAGAGAAGTGCTATGGAGAGTTCTAGAAAAGAAAGTGATTAATAATACTTATATTCAAGTCCTTAAGGATATGTATGCAAGAGTTGTTACTTTTGTTAAAACCCAAGGTGGTTTGACCAAGTATTTTCCTATTTCAGTTGGATTACATCAAGGATCAACCTTAAGCTCATATCTTTTTGCTTTAGTCATGGATGTTCTCACTAGACATTTGCAAGAGGTTGACCCTGGTGTATGCTTTTTGCTAATGGTATTTTTCTTGTTGATAAGACTAGATATGGAGTTGAAGGTTAACTTAAATTATGGAGGTCAACCTTAGAGTCTAAATGCTTTCGTTTGAGTATATCTACAACTGAATATATGGAGTATAATTTTAGTAATAATAGATCTAGTGTGGGAATTGTGACTTTGGGTGATCAAGTCATTAATATGAGTACACATTTTCGATAGCTTAGGTCTATTGTTCAGAGTGATGGTGAAATAAATGGGGATATTATTAGTAGAATTCAAGTTGGATGGTTAAAGCGGAGGAATGCATCGGGCTTGTTGTGTGATAGTAAAGACCCCCTCAAACTTATGGGAAAGTTCTATAAGATGGTGGTTAGACCTGCAATGCTTTATGGTGCAGAATGTTGGCCATTAAAAGAGAAGCATAATATTAAGTTAAGTGTTGTAGAGATGAAGTTGCTCAGGGAGATGAGTGGCTTTACTCTTAGAGATAGGATACGAAATGAGCATATACGCAAAAAGTTTGAAGTATCTCCAGTGGAAGATAAGATTAGATAGAGTCGCCTTAAATGATTTGATCACATAAAATGACGGTCTTCCGATGACCTGTTTAGGAAAGTAGATGTATTAGATTTGAGTTATGTTAAGAAGGGTAGAGGTAAACCTAAAAAGATTTTGTTAGAAAATATTAGAAATGACATTTCTTTATTCGATTTAAATGAGAATTTAACTCTTAACATGACATAGTGAAGAAAAAGAATTTATGTAGCCGACCCCACAGTGGGATAAAGGCTTGATGTTGTTATTGTTGCCTGCTCCAACATATTCTGATATATAGGCGTAATGTAATTTTATGCATTTCAATGCCCTTGTATGATGCAGTCGTATAGAGGTTTTACGAATTTGCATATTGTATTATCGGAGAAGAAGATTTGAAAATTCATGTGTTTTTTTGTCCGCACAGCATGCTCGGACATTACACTTATATATTCGTTATGCTCATAGGAGCATATGCAGACTTGTCATTTTCAAGACTGTACTTTCATGCAACTTTAGACATATTTGCACTAACACTTGCATGACTTTCAGTGCACCCTCATGATATTTGCATGTGGCATTTGGTGCACTAGTTTGTTTTGGATGTTTCTCGAGACAAATTTGATAGGATTTAGGGATTGCCTCAAGATACGTGCATGTCTTAAAAATATTTGGATTTGATCATTTTTCATGCCTTTGACTTTCTTGCACTCATTTTGAAGCGTTACACATTAGAACTTGAAAGTTTATCTGCAAAATTGTGCAACTAGTGATCATGTAAATCGTAATTTTTTTGCCTTTGTATTTTGGATTTTTAAAAATTTCATTGGTATCACCTTATGTCTATTTGTACGAGGGGGTTGCGAATTCGATGGCGAAGAAGGCAATATTTGATTATATCATTTTAGTACATTGCACTTTCTAAGCATTTTTGCCTTTGCCTTTTGTTCGCTTGCACGAAAATGTTGCGGGTCAGGTACAAAGAAGGCGAGCTAGGGAACAAATATGGGAACATGTACGAGCAGGGGAATGACATGTTTTTCATTTATTTAGATGTTGTACTTTTATCATTAGATTAATGGAGGTGATCTCTACATGAGACTTCTCCCCCCTATATATATGATGGAATATGAGGGTTCACTCTCATATTTCAAGGCTTTAGTTTTCTCATTATAATTCCAATTTGACCTTTGAGATTTTGTAGTTCTATTTGTTCTCTGGCAATTACCAAGTTCAGTTCCCTGTAGGTTCTATGTCATGTTTTCTACTTTTTTCATTTTGATTCTTATTTTCTTACATTTCATTTTAGGTATTTAGTTTGTATTTTGGTTTCTTACGTTACTTAACTGGAAAATTTGTATCAATTTTAGAGAATTAATTTGATTTCATTCAAGGAAGATCTGCTATGAATGTCTTTTTTGTGTTAAAACAATTAATGGATAACTATAGAGAATAAAGAAACGATCATATCATTTTTATTGATCTTAACACAACATTTAGTATTATGATAATTGATTTGGTATTCGTTAATGCAGAAAATTATGTCAAAGATATTTTGGCATTATTAAAAATATTTATAATTGAACACTGGCTAGTATTAGTAGTTATTGAGTGATTCAAAAGTTTCAAATTACTATAGATTTATATCAATGATCAGCATTATTCTCATATCTTTTTTTATATGTAATTAATATGATTACAAAGAGTGTTCAATGCAAGGTGCTTTGGTGTGTTTTTTCTCAAATGATGTAATTTTAATTGGTGAGACATTCACTGAAATTAGTAAAAAATTAAAATAAAGGAGAAAATATGTAGAAGATACATGCTTTAGAATTAATAGAACAAAGGCCGGTTAAATGATATATAATTTTAATGGGCCTAATGTTAATAAATATTATTCAATATTATTATAAGATAAATGATACGTAGGTGCAAATCCTATTTGTAACAAGTTTAATTAACTTGAATCTATTACATAGAGTTGTGATATAAATGATATAACTTATAGAGTTAAGACTGACTTGTTAAGTGAAGTTTCTTTGAAGTTTTGTATGATAAGAGGATATCATTAAGTCTTAAAGGTAATTTTTATAAAATAGCAATTAGGTCGGTGATGTATGGATTTAAATACTAAGTTGTAAAAATGAGATTGATATCTAAGTTGAGTGTGACCGAAATGAGGATCTTAGGATAGATGTGTGTTGAAACTATGAAAGCTAAATTAAAGAACAATTATATTAGAGGAAATGTTGGAGTGACATCTATTGAAAATAAGGTGATTGAAAATAATTATAGATGTCTTGGAAATGTACAATGAAGTGTAAACAATTTATACATTAGACGAGTTGATAAAATAATTAAGAAAAAAGTCCAAAATTGTCTCCTGACTATTCGTATGTGGTCAATTTAGTCCTAAGGTACCACATTTCTCCAGTAATCTCTTAGTTATACAAAATTGATTTCAAGGGATCCCTTGGATATAAATTGATGGGAATTGGAGTACAAAATTGACACCAATTTAGTTACTAAGAGATAATTTGGGATCAAATTTATATAGTCGAGGGATTAAATTGGAGAAATATTATATGCTGAGACTAAAATGGTAACAAATTAATGGTCGGGGGATTATTTTTGATTTTTTCCTTAAAATTATTTTTAGAGCATTATGAAGAAAAGGCATATGCTTAAGATTACATTAATAGATGTTGTTTAAAATGATTTGCGAAGAATAAGTTTAACACCTTAGACAACATTCAACCCAAACAAATAAAAAATGATTATTCATAATGCAACTCACAAAAAGTGGGATAAGGCTAATGATGATAATGAAGAATTGCATTATTACTTAATCTCCAATTAATTAACAAAATTAATTTAAATTAAACAGTTACTTAATTTACTTTACAACGTACTGTTTAACTAACTCTAATTAATGTGTTAAGCAGTTTATTTTCATCACAAAAGGTGGAAAAAGCTGAAATTATAAAAATGCACTTAAAAAAAAAACAACTCGATGCTAACTATTTCTCAACTTTTATGTTTTGCCAAAAGAAATTTGAAACACAGTGTGTGTGTGTGTATTAGCTTTCATAAAGTTTTGTGGACTACAACAGCTGGTCCGACATTGACCATACATCCAAAAACTGATTCTTTTATCCTAAAAAGTAGAATCTGCAGCAGAAATTCTCACCAAATGAGGCCTAAAAAGGTCTTAGGAAACTGACTGAGGCTGGCTTAACCACTATTGATGATTTTGTTCATGGTTCTACTTGCTTGTAGTTACTAGTTAGTATTGAAAGGTCTTTAGTTGTGTGAAGTTTCAGTTCTTCACATATTTTAAAATTTATTTCTGATGTCTAGATGTGATGATACGAGTCATAATCTTCAAGTCATTCCTATTATGCAGGAACAAACTTTTCATATTTCTTCTTGAACAGGAGACTCTCCTCAGAAGATGATGCTGTTAGCGAATTCATTAACGGAAGCATTGAAGCTAGTATCGTTGATTGGTATGCTTTTCCAATGACTTACCCCTTTCTTCAACAGCATCATTGTTTAAAATGTTATTTATTTAGATTTAAGTTCAATACCTAAACTATATGAAATGATATACCAATATTTCTCATACTCTTATAGATTCTTGAATTTCCATCTGCACCAATATTCTCTATTATGGGTGGAAAGGTTGGGAACAGGTTTTTGAAGCTAGTAGATGTTTGGGTGAGATGGCTGTTAAAAAAACTAGTTACAGATATAGCTTGATGCTCAGCTTGTTATTGATTGATTGTGTTCATTTATTTCAGCTAATCAGACAGGTCAAACTAAAAAAGTCTAAACACTATTTCTGAGCTCAACATATGGATAAATAAGCACAAGTGTAAGTGTATTTATGTTATGCTGCTTGATGGAGCAAGAATTTAAGGCACCTTTCGAGTAGGTGCAAACTCCAAGACATAAGAGGGAAAGAAGAGAAAAACATAAATTCTTATTCCATAGAAATGTTTGCAGCCATATGAGTGTGATTTATAGACAAACTGAGTGAACCAAACCCCTTGGGTCATTTATTAGATTGGCTTGAAAAAATTGTAAATAAAAGAAAATGTACTAAAACATTATTTATGAATTCATATAGTGCTTGGCAGCTTGTCTATTTTGTTGAGATGTGTTTGTGTCCTTCAGTTTTCTTTTTCTTGTAGACATGATGAAGTTGGAAATGATGGAGTATATTACTAAGCTAAGCTGGTATCATCAATTTAGCAAAGATACTGATGCACTAGACTTTAGATTTAGGAAATGTATGCATATCTAAGTAATTGAAAAAGTTACTAGAAAAAATATGGAAGCTTCAAAGTGGCTAGATCTTGACATGTTCTGCATTCAGAGAAGGAAACTAGTACTGTTAATGCATTTTGTGGTTTACCAGTCTCCAATGATGACCCATGAGATAGCATTTAGTTTTGTTTTGCTGCCAAATCAACAATTTCTACTATTTTTGTAGGTCTTCTACTTGTCACTTTTTGTGCATATAACTTGATATGTTATTTTATTCATTGTAGGTCTTGCGGCCATTGCATTTGGCCCAAGCTACTCATATTGTCTCATCAGACTGCTCTATGGGAAGAAATGGAGTGATGGACAGGCTTCAACTGTGCTGAGTTGCTATTGTTTTTATATCATTAGTTTAGCTGTGAATGGTTAGTACTCTTTGTTCTTTAGACGATATAAGTCCTCTAGAATTCTATATGGCATGGCTACCATTTGTTAGCTTTCTTTTGTTTGCATGTTTGTATTTAATTGCTATAAGTTGTTTGAATCTAATTTTTTATATGTCTTTGAATTCTTATCGAGTTATGTTTTCTTTCTATATGAAATATATTTCTGGATCTATGAAATATTTTACATGTATAATATTTCGCGATTCCAATGTTCCTTGTGGTGCACTATATTGAAAGCATAATCCTAAGGTTACCTAGCTCTGAAACCTTAAGTTACTGCTCACAATAATTTTAAGATTTTCATATATAGCATTAAATCTAGCTCATTGCAAATTTAACACCATGCTACCTCCATTTATCAAAATCTCACCCAAAAATGAAAATTCACAAAAATTCCAGTCCATATTTTTCATTTATTTTAATTCCCAAATTTTGAATTGTAGTACATGCAAATAGATGGGGTTGCTTATTAATTTTTTTTACATGGATGGTAGTTTTATCAAAAAGGTAAATTTCAGTGGCATATGCGTAAATCTCCTTAGTTTTAATGGATTTGCAGTGGCTTCACTGTTTCATTTCATTTGTTCTTCCAGTTCCAGTGCTGCTTTTAGTGGCATTGTGAAGGCACAATCCTGAGTTTACCTAGTCCTGAACCATTGAACTTACAATTAATTTTAATTGCAGATGCAGTGATGGTTTTGCTGTTTCTATTGAATTTGCTAATAATTCGTAGTACACATTACACATGTTCCTATTCCTTTTTGGAAAAAAGGAAAGTTGGTTAACAAACAGATCATCTTGCATTTGTCCTTTTTTAAATTCATTCCAGCCGTTTTTTCTATTTTTTCTAGTATAATAATGTAAATCCTGATCCTGCATTTTAGCTATTATGGGAAAAATTCATGATTAAAACATCAGACATAATGATTCAGTTCCAAGCCACATCTCGTCCTCCTTTCTTTTTGAATGTATAGTGGCATTTAAATATGTATGTATAGGATAAAGTGGAAAAAAAAGTATCTGGATGTCCTGAATAAAAAGTGGCTAGGATAAATCTCAAAGTTCTGTGTTTTTCTTTAAGATAAATGCAATATTAGTTATATATATTACACTCATCTCAAAATAGATTCAAGTATTTTAAGATCTATCCTGATCAAAATTTTGATCAGAATATCTTGATATAATTTTTGTTATAAATCATCTGGATATTGTGCTCACTATAGTAGTCCTTGCATACTGTAAGGATCTTGCCTAACCATTATGTGCTCTTCATATAACTTGCACATATTTTTCTGGGAGAAACTGGTTCTGAAACTAACATTACATTCCCATACATCACTTAGTTCAGGGAATTGCTCACAGTGCAGTCAATTCTAATTTTTGGTCACTTCAGGGCATGAATTACAGCATAGAAAAAAATTGCAAACTCCTTTTTTAGGGCATATATTTGTCAATCCTCATCACTATTAGAAATTCTGCCCATGAAAATGTTTTTCCCTTGAACACCCATGCCTGCTTATTTGGCTGTGAAATGGGGACTTATTGAAACATCTTCTTATATCCTCTGAAAATAATGATTTACTGCCACGAAATTATCTTGAACTTTCCTGCAACTTATCTATAGAACTACTTATTCACTTTCATATATTCAACTGAAATTCATATCTAAGTATTGTGCTGCAGGTACATCTGAATCATTTTTACACGCTGTTGCCAATGAAAGTCAACTAATACAATCAAATCTCTCATTGTTCCTGTTCTCTGGAATATATATTTTGCTAAATATTATATTTGTACGATCTGCTGGAGCATTTGGCCTAATCGCCGCCAATTCAATAAGTATCCTTTTTAGGCCCATTTTAAAGGGTGTTAGATGATATAGTGATTTTCTTCAGAGAATATCCATAAATATCTATATTATTCCGACTTATGCAGATGCAACTTTCTTGCCGCCTGCCTATTTTCAAAATTTTGACATAATATTGGTCATTGAATGAATAATTAACACACATCAAAATTTATTTTTTGAACCCACCGAGGCTTAGGGTGGTTGGTGGGCGAGCACGGTTGGGAACCCCCTATCCCGGGTTAGAATCCTCTCTACTACAGCCTCGTCTCTTCAGTAGGGCAAAGCACGTGTGGACCCGATGCCGGTGGGTGACCTCGCTACCTTCCACCGAGGAATTATTTACGCCGCCTAGTGCTCCCTTTGGAGTAGCAGCGGGTAGATATTTGTTTCAATGCAACATTTGATAACTTAAAAGAATTCATTATCATCTGATGTCATGAAATGAAAATGCACCCTTTAATGTGATTCCTTGACAGATTGAAGATATGATTTTGAGAATTACATACTCTGCATTATTTATAAGACGTTACTTTAAGGTAAGTGATCATGTATTTAGATATTGTTGTTTTGGGTGTTTGGCGTTATTTTCTTTGCACTTCAACATTCTCACTCTCTTTCTTTTTTTTGCAGGGATCTTCATTTTCATTTCTTAAGAGCTTGCCATCAGGCTGGATAGTTCTTCTTCTTTCTGGTGCAGTAACACTCGCATCTGAGAAACTAGTTCTAGATAGGGAAAACTTCTGGCATTCTTTCCTGATTCATCTATCTATTGGCCTCTTGTGCTTCTGCATCTCTGCCATTGTCATGTATGGGTTGCCTTCCTCTATGCCATTATTTTTCTAAAATATCTCCATCCAATATTTCATCTATAAGTGCTCATTTGGTTCCTTACCAAAGTAGAAAACTATAAATTTTTAGATTCAATCATTTGGTTATATGTAATTAGAATCTAATATGAATTTTAAACTCTCAATTAACACCTTCATAATTCATCAAATGTGATTATTTCATATTTCACACTCAAAATGAGTAAAATTGAAATAAATCATTTTTTTATCTACAGGCAACCACTTGAGCCTTAGGCTTCGTTTGGGGCGACTTTTTTATTGCTTCTTAAAACAAATTTTAGTAAAAAATTAAAAATTTTGTACTAGAAAGCTGCTTTAAGAAGCAATAAAAAAGCCGTCCTAAAAGAAGCCTTAGTATCTCAACTGCATTGGGAGCTTAATAGTGGTGTATATGAGCTGCAGATTTCTATCTTTAGATCTAACTGTGCTTCTTTTTCTGTTGTATATGAAAACAGCTATCGTCGAGAAAGACAATTTATCAACAAAATTATCCGCATTCGCAGCCATAGTGACTGACGTGCAAGCCCTACTTGTTCATGAAGGTCAGTCCACGTGGCATCCAGGGAGGCATAAATTATTGCTTTTTTGATTAATTTATTTATTTGAAGAATTGTAGGACTCCAGTCTTTCTCATCATCTATTAAAGACAGGCTTTTATGCTTAGGATGGGTGTAATTTTTTATAAAAGTGATTGTAAAAGTGCTGTGGAGAAGTAAATTTTTTTTTTTAAATTGTTGTAAAATAACTTCTTCATAATAAAATTTTGAAAGCGATAGTCAAATAAAATTTATGTTTGCGGTCTAAAAATAAAGTAGTACAAAATTGGCATGAATTGATCCTAAATTATTCACATATAGTAACCAAACTCTATATTCACCCTGTTTGAGCTTATGGTTTTATTTGTAATGACTTTCTTACTGCTTCTTAAAACAGTTTTTTAGTATAAAAATTTTAATTTTTTTACTAAAAAAATGTTTTAAGTAGAGGCAAGAAAGCCGTCCCAAACAAAGCCTATAGTAAAAGCTGAGACTTTGTTAACGTAAATTTGTTTATAATTTGCAGTTTTTTGCTCAAACTCTATGTATTAGCTGAATATTGTACATCTAAGGATCTCCAACCGATAACTTCATTTTTCACGGCAAAGTAACGCAAAAATTCAAAATGGCGTGGTGATGCTTCCAATTGAATGTCATTTTAGGTGTTTCTAGGAAGGTAACGATCACTCTCCCTTTCGCGCGTTTTTCCGGTTGAGAGCAGAAAATGGCGTGAGTGAATAGTGCGACGCCAATATTGGCGTCGCACTGTAAACCTGCAATGAAATGGCGGAAATTTTCGCGTTCGGTTGGAGCGACGGAACGACTCCATACACTCGTTTAACGTTCGGTTGGAGATGACCTAATATATAATAAATATATAGTTAATATACAATAAATATTTACTAAATATACAGTAATATAAAAACTGTGTATTGATAAAGTATTAGTATGTATTGGCCACGTATTCCGATTTTATTGGAGTCCGGATAAAACTTTACGTAAATAATTTCTCAGTTTTTTTAGAAGTTTTTCCCATTGTTGATATCCAGCTAGAGTTAGAGCTTAAATTTGAATCTAAAGATTATAATTTTATTGAATCGAGTTCAAAATAATTAATTTGAGTTAATTTTTGAATTTATCAGAATAAGTTTATTAATTATATAGTACAAGCCATCATCTAGTTGAAGAATATTCATTTTAATATTTGAATCTATTAAAATTTAATGGACTTTCAAAATTCGGATATAGTTTCTGACCATAGATAACATTGGACTAAATTTATTTTCAAAAATCTATTATGTTTAAATTAAAATAGAAACAAACCATTAGAACTTGTTAGTGAGATGAAATCATTTAAAGTCAAATCGACGCTCTTGGCAGATTATTATTCTTATTAAATATAAAATTTGTTAGTGAAATCCATCTTATGATGATTTGATGTTCGTTGTCGGGCAGAATTGGAGTGAGCTCAGCAAGATCGTTCTAATACATCTTACTTAATATCAATCGAAGGGAATCTTATCACTAAATGCCGCAATGCTCAAATTGAACATAATTCTCTATTAGCGTGTGGATAGAGTTGATAATGTTTAAATAACCAAAATACAAATTAATTAAAATTCTTAATGATTGTCGTGCTCGATCATCAATATATCAAATATAAACTTAGATTGAAGTAGGGCTGTCAATATTTGACACGACCCGAAAATCCGACTCGAATCCGATTCAAAAATTTCGGATTAGGGTCAACCCTGACTCGAAACAGGTAGGGTTCGGGTTCAATTTTCAACCCGTATGAATTTCTGGGTTGGGTTCGAGTCAACCCAGTGAACCCGAATGTGCCCCGGTTCAACCCGATTTGCAAACTGGCCCCCATTATTTACCTAATTACCTTTATATCCTTAGGGATTTTAAGCTTACTGGCTTACTACTTAAGCGTCGTATTCGACATTCGAGAGTCGAAATATCGCTCTTCCCTCTTCGAACGCAGAACGTCCAAGCTAGGGCTGCTCGATTTTGCGGAGATTTCTGCCTTCTGCCAGGCTATTTTCACCTTCTCTCCTCCTCTGCGGCTTTGCGTCCTCGACTCATCGGTTTCTCTATTAGTATATTTTAAATCTTGCCAGTGTTAACATTCTTTCTGTTATGTTTATGCAGATGGACTATTTATACCAAGACAAGAAAACCCCAAAAACTGCAAGTATTAATTATGTATCGCAGTGGTCGTCCGTACGATCCGTGGATCGTCTTGGAGATTTTTAACTTAAACGATGAACACGTCCCTATTCTGAATAATGTGTACAGAAATGTTTCGTACAGGTGATGCCTGTACCGAATAGGATTCGTGCGTACGACGGTTATTATAACGGTCGGTTCTACGACTCGCTGAAAATGTCCTAAGTGGTTAATTCGTTTGGAGAAAATTTATTCGTCTGGAACGAATTTTACAGAGAACGATGTTTCTGGATTTGATTCTTTTACTTCGTGGACAAAATTTTCCAGGGACAATGCCGCAGGAGATATTTACATTTTGTCAAGAAACGAAATTTTCCGAGGACCCGATGTCCTGGACGATTTTTAATTTCGTATGGAGAAATATTTCCAGAGAACCAGTCACACGGACGGTAATCTTAAATTTTGTCTGATGCAAAATTTTCGCAGAGCAGTACAATCGTGTCCTGTACTATAATTTATTTGTCCTGGACGAATAGGACTTAGAAAAAATTTTCAGATGCAGTTCCTATTCGTTCATTGCTCTATGGGGAGATAATGTCTGATCGTGCCAGTAGAACGTATTCGTCCTGTACGATCAATTAATTTTATATGATCTCTTCATAGTGTTGTGTGTTTGTTCTTTATTCACTCAAGTTACAATCCGTTCCTTTCAATTATTTATTTCAAGAAAAGTAATAGCTTCACAAATACAGAGATATTCAAGCTGATTTCAATTTTGAATCATCGTAATCTGGGTTTTCGTTTCCCCTGAATTTTACCACACAAAGCAAATACAATTCTCTAAAAAAATGTTAGGAGATAACTACAACACTTGAACAATAATGTTAGGAAATCCATCAAACTTCATAAGGTTTGCAAAAAAGTGTAAAAGCTGCAAATAGACATATCTTAACAATCTTCTCCCCTTTTTGATGATGGCAAATAATTTTGTTTGTATGGTTCAATTTAAACAAATTCTATCTTACAAACTCCCCTGAATTGATGATAGCATGAAAATAAGGAGAATTTGAACATAAACATAAAAAAAAATTTATTTTCAAAAAAAAAATAAACTAGAGACACAAACAAAACATACACACAATGATTACGACATAAACAAAACAAAACACAATGATTTCTACCTTTTTGACAACAATAAAGTGAAGAAGAAATAGACGAGAAATGTAAGTAATTGTAATGAAATTGCATTGACATTTAAATCTAAATTGTTATTCGATATAAGGTATCGCAAATTTTAAAACCTAAAAACATTAGGTCCAATCATAGAAATTCAATGAAATTTAAAAAGTGATATAACATTGTAAGTAGAAGAACATTTAGCAAAGAATGAATTCAATTTAGACTTCCACTATAGAAAATCATCTACAAGAGAGATGAAGAAAATTCGATATTCTCAAAGTTATAGAATATAAATGACATAAGATTTCATTTGAATTAAGAGATCTGAATAGATTTGGGAAAGAGAGAATTCCACATGTGGCGCTTTGCGCATTTTTTCAAAAGTTTTTTTCGGGGCACATTTTTCTGTGCATCTTTTGATATCTGGGCTGATTTTGTGTTCTTTTTCATATTGCGAACTTTCGCGCATTCTTTTGATTTTTGCTTTTTGTACAATTTTCAAGAGTAATTGGACAATTTCTTTCCAAAAAAAAAATAAATCATAATATAAAATTTTAAAATATTTCTAAGTGCATTAAATATTATTTGAGCAGAATTACAAAATAAGAAACATCTATAATTGCAAATACATAATATAACTTTTATGTTAGTCTAAAATGAACTAGACAATGATTTTAAAGTTTTAATTACCAACCAAGTTATAAATCAACTTTAATTAAGCAAAGACCTAGATTTTTATGTAGATAATCTCAAATTAAAATCTATTTTAAGCCACTATGAAGATTATAATACTAATGAAATTCATCACAAAATTAATGCACATTTCAAAACGAAATCAAATTTGAAACAGAAAAGCTTACAACGATTGATCTATTAATGAAAGGATTTCAACCATTTCATAATATAAGACAAATAAACAACAGTTAACATAAACACTGACACAACAAAATATGACACAAACACTAGTAGCAAGAAGACCAGAAACTTCATCTACTCGTTCTCGCGGAGGAGGAATGCCACCCCGCCGAAAAGGTCTGAAGTAGGAGTCCATTGAAAATTTGAAGTTGAAAAGGCGATTAAAGAAAAGTTTGGACGTGTGATTGTTGAGATTAGCAAAGCCTTCTATTTAAAGAAAAAGATACTTTATTCCTGACGAAAACAGTTCGTCCTGGCGAAACATCATCATTCGTCGGAGACAAAACCAATTCATATCGCTAAATACACGATCCATTCTCGCTCCAACAATGATACCGGCCTTTTTATAATCAACCACATTACGATGACGTCGCTTCGTACAGGCTTTTTGCACTTGACCCGATCGTACAGCACGAAATAATTTCGTATAGACGCTCCACAAAGTACTTATTTTCCAGTCTCTTGAAAACGTGCCCCTCATGAAACGATATTTGTTTCATCTGGACGAACAAAAATTCGTACACCCGCAACGAACTCTATACTTTACACGCTGTACTATCATCACTCACTGCTGCATTCAGTGCGTTGCGACTTTTGAGAAAAAGAAAATTTCGTCCCTGGATGATAGTCCGATCGTACATGACGATCTATTAAACTGCTCTTCAAAACGGTTAATCCACCAGCAAAACCTAATTTTATCTCACATCGTCCAGTAACGAAACAAAAGTCGTCCTGGACGATTTCCTCCATTTTTGAATTTTTGAATTTTAACTTTAAGAAAAAATCAAACTAAACATTTAAACAGAACATAAAACAAACTTACACTCAAAAACATTTCATTCACAAACACAACAAAAAATCACAAAATCAAAAACAAAAAAACATAATATCATGTTACAAAGA